TTTCTGTTACCATAGTTTTCAATGAGTTTAGAAATCTGTCAAATTTATTATTTATATTTGTGCTACAGTCCCTAGTAAAATCCCAATTGAATCTAGATATTTTAAAACGTAGTTTGTTATAATTAATTTTTACATTATTTATTTTTGACACCTTGACCGTGTTATTTCCAGTGTCGGCAGGTATAACGCCTAGAATAGTATAGTGGTCTGATATATCTGAGTGAACTATAGCACTGTGTAGTTCATTCTCTTTACATTTTATAAATATGTGGTCGACACAAGTTCCCAGATTATCGTTCGACCGCGTAATGCCGTTTATACACGATGTATAACCCATACTGCTAAGAAGTGCTTTGTAATCGTCTATACTTTCTGATAATATGTTTAAATTTATATCTCCTGTATAATAGACTATTTCATTTTTATTAATATTGTTTAAAATTGGCTCTAACTCTGCAATGTACGCTTTCATATCATAGTCCAGAGATCTGTATAACCCTAATATTGAAAGTATTTTATTATTGTATGTAATTTGAACATTAAGTGCTTCTGCTGTAGTCATGTTTAAAATTTCCGCTGAATCTACTTCAAATTGGTCGGTCACGTATATAGCGACACCCCCGGACCTTCGTCCTTCCCTTGTAGCGAAAAATGCATTGTACCCCTGTATACCATATAAACTTTGTTCGTTTTTTTTTATCCATATTTCAGTTAAGATAATTATTTTAGGTTTCTGTTTTAAGTAATTTAAATATAACAAAAAGTTTTCAATATTTACCCTTAGACTGCGTATATTGAGAGTTAGGCAAACAATTCCATGCACTCCTGGAAAAATCACTTCTTTATTAAATGGTGATTCCACAATTGTTGTATCAACTTCCGTAGTTGGTAAAGCTAAAAAATCATCCATAACATTGGCCATTTTTAAGTTGAAAAGGCAAAAAATTCAGTGTATTACTTAGTATTTAATTAGGTATTAAGAGTCCTGCTTTTGCAGTTGTATAAGATCTTCTTCCCTTTTGATCCACAGATGACGGTCGTTGTCAGTTTTTCTTAAATAAATTTTCCCGTTTCGTATCCAAGCATATTTGTAACCATTTTCCTCTTTGAATTTTCTTGTCTTGGTAAATAATTCCTGTTTGGCTCTGGTTAGGTCTTCGTTAAAGTATAATGTCTTCTTGCCAACGTAGCCGCAATCCTCCATTGTAAACTGACCAACCTCTTTTCTTTTTTTAAGGATAGCTTGTTTTAGGTTTGTACTTTTCAGTTCCACCAAGATTGGTGAGTTTTCTTTTTCGGCCAGTCGCTTACAAGTAAAATCTGTTGTATCAATTTTAACTCCAACCTTTCCTATAAGTTTAGAAACAACAACTTGCGTGTTTTCCTCCACCTGCCTGCAGGCATTGATAATTATTAAATTTCGTTCCCTTTTTTCCTGTTCCGTATTGTCAATTTTTTCCTCTAGAACACTTATTCTGGCTTTTGCTTGTTGCAGTTCCTTTTTCTCCTCCTGAAGAGAATATTTTATTTTTTTGTTTTCTCCTTGTAGGTCATCCACCGTGTCGGACATAAATTGCAGTGAATTTTGTAGAGTTGTTATATCACTTTTGAGAGCTTTTATTTCTTTTTTCATATAGTCGTGATTTCTTTCCAGCAGCCTCACTACATCTGTTATTGTATATTTAACATTGGGGTCTGCGTTTTCCTCTTGTCGAGTCTCATCCTCACTAGACTGCTCATCTGAGCTATTATGTACTAATACAGACTTTCTAGTACTACTACTGGGTACCGTGCATCTTCCACAATACCAGCTTTCTTTACTTTCTATCAGGTTGCGGACCTCATTATGACTTAAGGCCGAACATTTCTGACATAGCCATTTTTTACACTTTCCAGAACACAGTAGTTTATATTCCGACTTGATAAAATGTTTATTGCAAATGCCACAGTACTTCACCTCCTTAGCTGTGTTTACCAATAAATTTTTTTTGGGCGGCATTTTGACGATAAATGTTGTTTACAGAAAGGATGCCTACAAAAAACACGTTTGTTTAAATAAAGATTTAGGAATGTTATTTTTTGTTTAAGAACACATGAGGAACTTTCGCGTTTCTTCTTTCTATTTCCGAGCACCACCACTAGAAAATAAGCGTATTAGATGACGCTTTTTTTCCTCTTTCACCTGATGCCACTCTTCACTAAAATTTTGCTATAAATCATTCCAAAACTTGTTCTTTTCACGGAGCGAAAATAATACGTCAAGACCACTGAACTGAATTCTCTAAAAAAAAAAATCTGAATATGATAGCAATTAATTTGCTAATGAAGTGATTTTAATAATAATGATAAAATATTCTGAAAAATCAGAATATGAGAGCAATCAATTTACTAACAAGGTGTGACAATATTAATAATATATAATTCTGGATATGACAGCAATTAGTTTGCTAATAAAGTGGTTTTAATAATAATGATAAAATATTCTGGCCTGTTTATCCTTGAAGCGGTCACAATCTCAATTCTACGACGAATAATTCAACCAATAGAGTACGTCGTGTCTCGCGACTCTTAAAGTCAGCGAGTCTTGAAGTACTGAATTTCTTAGGGCAGGAATTACAGGGCGATGATGGTATGGGGTGCAAACTACCAAACATAAAGGTATATGGTATAATCAACCAATAACCAACGGTCCAATTCTTGGAGTCGACTCCCACGCGGATCCTACAGGGTAAAAAGCACACATGTCACAAATGGGACGGAAAAGTGGGATTAAAGAGTTGTGGAAATATATTCCAGATAAAGAAATTAATGCTTGAGCAGCTTACCTTGATTGGATTCCACAAAACACAACACAAAAAGCGATTCTGGCACGCCAAAGATTCTGGATTAATAACCCAGGAAGTTAAACAGAAAACCTTCTTTTCTTTGGCTCTAGTACTCGATGGCCTCTTGATTCATTGATAGAAAACTTCAACAAAACTCTTTAAAAGGTATTTGGGCAGATGATACCCGATTTCTTTTTGGACCAAGAAAAAGGCGTGTTGAGTCACAAAGAAGCAGTACCAGAATGGCGGTCCCCTGAACCCGTAAAATTGATTCCACCAGATTCGATGACAGCGGAAATCCAAGAAAGAAGAAAACGCGGTTAATTTGAATGTGTACGAAAATTCAAGGAATTGTGCAAAATAAATTTGGCAACGTTGCAAAATTCAAATTAGGAACTGACCATAGCCCGCGGCAGATACTGGTTGACATTTAACAGCTGGGAATTTCAGCAGCAAAATGTGAAATAACAACAATGGACAAAAGGACTTCTAAACCCAAAGTCCCAGTCTCTAGGAGCCAATCAGTGGTTGTTATGCAAGATTAACCCTTGTGAATTCATCCCCTTGCTAGCTAAGCTAACATACCAGGTAAGTATTGTTTATTTGCTACCATTACGTGAAAGTTAAAATAATTAATAACTCCCATTTGTTTTAGGCTAAAGCAAGTTAACGCCCTCAACCCCTAACCGTGGGCTAGTGGAGAAGATGGGTTCTTCATCCTTTAATTGAGATAAACAGATGATGATGATCAAAACAGGGTTATGTGTTTTAAAGTAATGAAAGCGAAAGTGGAATTTGAATAGGTTAAGTTTGTAAATAAAAAATATGATGTATTATGTTGTATGATTGAAATTAAATAAAAATATTCAACCGATGGGAAATCCCATCCTTAATTATTGTTTCAAGTAAAAATATTATATAACTAGATAGGTAAATATCCTCTTTGATATAAACCTTTCACAAAAAAAATGAAGGGTAGCATTTAAAGAAAACTCAAATGTTACACTTACTAAATGCACTACCTTCGTAAATGGCCATTTATCCCCAGTGTACAAGTATTTTCCTGTATTCAGTGCAGCATGTATTTATGGGATATTAGAGAAATATCATTATTTAAAGTTGAAGTTACAATACATAGCCTGAGGGGCAAATTTAATATTATGGGATAAAATAGGTAATATAGATAAATACTTAAAATTGAAGTACCTAACAATACATAACCTGAATGGCAAAATTCATATCGACGCCTCCAAAAGAAAACATTGTAAGTGACAATTTCAAATTTTACAGGAGAGCGATTTGAAATTTGACGACTTTTAAATCGCTCCTAGTCTTTCAGAAATGACTAAAACTTTTCTGCGACTTTTTGATTACTTTTTTCGGAAGGTCACGAAATAGTCTGTGGGGGCGATTTGTTTATTAAACTTAGTTTTAGGCTTTTTTGTGTGACTTACAATTATGCTAAAACACAATTTCAGCAGAAAAAAAATTGCATTGGCACTTACATTGTTTTTGTCCGGAAAATTTTTTAAGAACGTGAATTGTAATGCTTTTTACAATTTTGAAGCCTTAAGACATTTCCAAACAAAAACATTGTAAGAGACTTTACAATGTATGATTTCTTAGAGAAAACAGGAAAATAATCAAAAAAAATTAAGCTTTATTCAAAAAACAGAAAACCTATTCTAAATTATGTAGTAAAACATGAATATAAAAATGTGTTATAGGTACTAGTCAGAATCATTATCGCGAACATCTTCTGAAAATGTTAGGGACTCGTAGAAATAGCGATATGTTTCAGGTACCTTATTCTTTAAAAACTGTAAGTGCTCATACTTTTTTTTAGTGAGAGGAATTTTAGAGCTGTAGCACTGTTTTAATTCTTGTAAGTCTTTTGTAGATCCAGATAATCGTGTCGTTTTATTTTTTAACTGTAGAATAACAGGTTCATTGTCGTCATAATCATACTTAAGGAGGACATTTTCGGGATTTTCTTTTTCAATTTTTATGTCCTTGATGTTGTTCCAACAAATTTTTCTATTTTCGGAATCCTTCAAAAAAATTTTGAAATTTTCACTGAATTTTTTAAAATCGTAAAAATTTGATTGACTCATTTCATGCACCTTATATGGTTTTCCCGAGATTTTAGCCATTTTTACTAACTGAATGAACTGGTCAGGTGTGAATAAATCCATCTCTCTTTTCTTTCTTTCTATTAAAGCATGAATGCGTTTTGTGTGTGGCCGGGCTCAAGAAACCTATGGCATATTGAGATGTTGTATTTTTTTGAAATATATAATATATATAATATATTATAACTATCATTGAAACTATCATCCTATTCTTATTTTGACCGATGCAATTATCGGAATATAAAGTCACTTCTTTATAACCCCCATTGGCCTTCTCCATTAAAAATCGATACACACAACTACTTATTTCGTTTGCTCCTCTTTTAGCAATCTGCTCATGCCAGATGAAGCAGAATCCTTCCTTTGTAGCCATATCAAATATACTTAAATTAAAAGTTGAGAGCTTTAGCTTGTAATAAAATACAGAGGTGTTTGACTGAGGAATCTGAATAACTTTTTGCAAATCAAAACAGCACACAGAAAACTTTTCGTTCTTGTCGGCGGCTCTGAGCTTGTCGGCTTCTTTCAATTCTCTTGATCTCTTTTTTCTATCCAAATGTTTCTGATAAGAGTTTATTAAGTCAGGAGTCTTTAAAACCTTCAACTCAAAATCAACGCAGGTCTCACATCTATCTTTTTTTGGCTGAAAAAACCCTATATTAAACTCATCATTCATGAGGTCTCTGTATTGCCTTTCAGATGCCACTAAATTTATTTTTTTCTCAGAGCACCAATCTCTATAGAGACGGTACATTTTTGCAATGCTTAGACCATCTTCCAGGTACTCCTTGGATGTGTTTTCTCTGCAGTAATGAGATGGCACTCTGGGGAACAAGTTTATGTGATCTCTGATGCTTTTTTTAACAAATTCTGAAATAACGAATGGTCGAGATGAGTGCGTACCTCTTTTATCAGGTGTTACGGTGCCAGTCACTGAAGCATCCTTTTTTTTTAAGGCGGTCATCACCTACATGTCTGTGATACCCAATGTATTTAAGAACATTGTCTTGCACACTTCCATACACGTACTTGAGTTAGACTCCTCTGATTTGATCGAAAAGCTGTATATTAAGGAGGACTTTTTTATAGGCTGTTCACCGTCTTGTGGTTTTACTCTCTTTTTTGGTACTCTTCTTACATAACTTCCCAGAAACCCTGACTGCCTGCTATAATCCGACATTGACCAAAACTTATCAAAAATTTGTTTCCTCTTTTCGTCGTTTAATGATTCGGAACAGTGTTTCCTACATTTACATGCTTCCTTCATAACTTTCTTTTTTATAATTCGTCCTGATTTTGTTCTGTGCTCTTCTCCCGATTGCACTTTTTTTTTCATTATTTGCCTTTTCCATCTCTGAGGGTCTTTGGTTCTTCTCCGTTTCATACTTCTTGCTTCTTCTTTAGGTTCTTCTTCAGGTTTTTCTTCAGCTTCTCCTTCAGCTTCTCCTTCAGCTTCTCCTTCAGCTTCTCCTTCAGCTTCAGATCCACTGGTCTGATTTTTAGATTTCAATAATTCAGTCTCAGCGGTTTGATGAACGAAATTGCTTCTTGGTTTTTTCGCTAAAGGTTTCTGCAAAGTTAAACTGGTTCTTTTTTTTTTGGTAATTCATCATGACTCGAATTGGAACTAGATGATTCTTCTGAGCTATTATATTCATACTCACTGCTAGTGCTAGTTATATCTTCGTCAACAAAGAAGCTTTCGTTAATATTTTCATCAAGGCAGAAAGATCTTGAATCAGATGATAAAATATTACACGTAGAAATTTTATTAGAGGCAATAATAATTGCTTTATTAGCATCACCATCTTTAATACTACCCAAATCATCAGCAGGCAGAAAAGTGTCAAGATTAGCTACTGAATTTTCAATGTCCTTCTGGACCACGTCTTTTTGGACCACGTTTCTTTCATTTTCTAAAGATTTTATCAGGTCTTCATCATTATTTGGAAAAATACTTTCTGGAATGAAATAAAGGCTTTCTATCCTTTCTATGACAACGCGAGGATCTAAAACAAAAGAAAATCTTATAAGTGCATAAAGTTTTTGCATCTCCTTGTAAACAATGTTCTGATAAATAGGTGTTGTTTCTCAAAAAAATGAATTAATTGGTATATTACGTTTTTATTTTTATCATATTATAGGAAGAGCCTGTCATCTTCAAGCAAGAGAATTGTAAGGGTGAATTTTTTTGGAAAACACCTTATGGAGGTGCAAACATCAAACATGAAAATCTTTTAGTTAGGAAAATGTTCTTTTACAGATACTCAGAGAAAGCAAAGGTGATATTGGTTTAATCACTTATATTTTGTCGATCGCAAAAACATAGCTCGGCCAAGTTGCTAGAAACGCTCGATTTTAGCATGTTTTGTTTGAAATAAATCTGTTGAATTCAGTTAATCACTTTTCGCATGCCCTCAGATTTTAAACTAAACTTGCCAAAATTCGCATGTTTCTAGCATCTCTGAGCACTATATGTAGTTTAAATTGAAAAATACCCTGTTATTAAGCAAAATTTATTTTATAAAATTACCTTGATTTTCCACAGGAGTTATTTGTGAAGTTGTTATACTCGTAGATGCATTTATAACTGGTGTAGCTGGGTGAAAGTTTTCTTCAATATCATCAGAGGCATTTTGTTCATGTATCACTCGATCTATCATAATAAAAAATAGCGAGTTAAATGATTATTTTAAACAGGTTTGAATAATTCACCTTAATTTGCCCCTTATTATTACAAACAACGTTGCTAAATTTAAAAAAAAGATTACCAGTAAGTAGTATATTGTTTCAGATATTATTAAAAAAAAAAAGATTTTTAAAAAGAAGTTTAATCTTGGAAACAATAAATTTACGGACCTATGAAATTTTTTTCATAAAATGACCCAATAAATTACCCCTTTTGTTAGTACATGATTTAGGAACACCTTGTAATGTATTAAAGAAATTTTCTACATACCTATATTTTTTCTTACGGCTTCCACCATTCGCCTAGCTCTGGATGACATTTTATTAAAGACTAAAAATTGGGGAATTAACAGGAACGACTGGAAGGCCTGTCTACGCGACCGTATTTGTATAAACAAAATTTCAAGGTTAGAAAATGCATTGTAAATGACACGCGGTTTGCATAGTTTCCAATTAAAAACATTGTATCTACATGTTGAGATTTTATTCTCCGTGTAAAACAATTGTAAAGTACTTTACAATTTTACCATCCATCAAAATATCCGTGCAAAATGATTGTAATGGCTGTTGCCATTTTTATGCACCAAGAATGAGATTTTTTAGAATTGTAAAGCACTTTACAATTCAAAGGGGCATTATAAATGAAATTGTATGCACCCTTACTGCTTTCTTACCCGGATTTTTTTTTAAAAATTGTTAGTTACAATTAAAAAAATAATAAAAGCTGGGTTTTCCCGCAAAAAATTGATGATTTGGCATTTATTTTTAGGAAGAGTAGTAGCACAGCCCTCTACACTTACAAGCCATGAAGTTGGAAATAACGGCAACGTCGCCAATGGTGCTATTTTGCTATTGAGGTTATATGTTTCTGTGTATTGTTTTCATTGTTTATTGCTAGAGTGAGGTGCATTTTCAAACGAAAAAGTGGCTAGAAACACCAATATATTGTTTACTTACTGTTTATATTTGGTTCATACCTGTTATGCCATTATTAGTTGTGTTTTGATTGTGAATTTATAGCAAATACTGCAATCGGTACAGGAGCAAAAATTAAGGTGAGTTAAGGTAAAAGCAAATAAAAACAATATAATATTTGTTTCCACTTTGCAAAGTGCAAGAGCACATGTATAGGTCTCGATATTATTATTATCTAAGATATTTAAACTTGTTCCAGATGCCAAGAAACTGCTGTGTGCCGAGGTGCAAATCCAACTATAGGAGTTCCCTGAAGACTGAGGAACTGCAAACAACATTTTCATTTCCAAAAACTTCCGAATTACAGAAATTATGGCTAAAAGCTATACACCGAGATAATTATACGGTAACAAAAAATTCTGTAGTGTGTGCGAAACATTTTGAAAAAAATGAAATCATTAGATTTGAAACATACAAAGATAAAGAAGGAGTAAGTCGAGAACACAAACTTAAACGTCCAATCCTCAAAAGCAACGCTGTACCACATATTTTCGAAAACCAGCCCAAATATTTAAATAGACCTGCCCCTACCATCCGAAAAAATCCTGAAGCTAGAAAAAGTGATATTGTTAAAAGACATACCGAAACTGTAGAAAATTATCTTCAAAGTGATCTGATTCCAAGCTTTGAAAATTTTGTAAAACTTCTTGAAACTAAAATAACTCTGAATAAATGGCAATGTAAAGTATCTTCGACATTTGTACATTTTTATATGTTAAATATTGATCGTGATGGATATGACTGTGATATTGAAAATTTGAAAATTGTTTCCAGTGTAAGTGTTAGCCAAGAATTAGTGGTAAGTATTTTTGTTGGAGACAATGAGATTACAAGTAGTGACCCTATGTGGATTCTACCGAGTAGTAGAAAACTCAGTAGGTGGTCCCAAATAGAAAATTTATTGACTCGATACACTTTTGTTAATGACATTTCTTTAGATTCAATTTATTGTTTTAAAAAAGCTCAGTATTATCTTCAAGAAGGTATCAAAAAACTTGATGAAGGTTGTGAGTACAAAAACTTATTAGGAATATTATTGAATCAACTCTTTTTACTTGATTGTAAAAAGAAAAGATATAGCATGCCAACTATGTTGTTTTCACTTATTATTTTTTGTCAGTCATCATCTACCTATGAAAGAATAAGAGATTTTTTTTTTTTTGCCTTCTAGTCGACATTTACAACAAATTACAGCAAACCTACATGTTTCTCCAGAAAATAATCTTGATATGAATAATAATTATCTTTCATATATGTTTTCTACTCTAAATGAAAGAGAAAAAATTGTTAGCCTTATGCTTGATGAGATATATCTTAAGAGTGGCCTTCAGTATAAATCAAAAAATATTAAAGGGTATGCTGAAAACAATGTTAATCAGCTTGCCAAAACGGTTCAAACTTATATGATATCTTCTCCATTTTCAAATATGAAAGAAGTTGTTCGGTTGATTCCTGTAAATAAAATGACAGGTAATGAACTTCAAGAAAAAACACTTGAAGTTATTAAACATATACAAAGCATAGGATTTAAAATTATAAGTATTATATCAGATAACAATAGAGTTAACCAAAAAATGTTTTCTAGTCTTTCACAGCATTTTTTATGAGAAATCCCCAATTTCCAGATGAAAAAATATTTTTTTTGTACGACTTTGTACATATATTTAAAAATATATATTATAACTGGATGAATCTTAAAAATTTTGAAAAAACATTCATTTATCCAGACTTTGAAAATTTTCACCTTAAAAATAAAGCGTCATTTAGTAAAATAAGAGACTTTTATAACTTGGAATTTAATTTAATCACCAAAAAAGCTTATCGACTTAATGACAAAACAATGTATCCTAGCAACCTGGAGCGACAAAACGTAATGTTATCTGAAAATATTTTCCATGATTCTACTATAGCAGCCCTGAAATCCAATGAAACTTGTATAGAGACAGCAAAGTTTCTTCAAATAATAAAAAATTGGTGGAGTATTGTTAATGTTAAAAACATACTGAAGGGGACAATAAAAAGAAATGATTTTTGTACTGCAATATATTCTGAAACCGACGATAAAATTCAATTTTTAAAAAAATTTTGTAGTTGGCTTGATGCTTGGCATAGTGACAGCAATAATGTGGGTTTCACCAGAGATACCTATAATGCCATTAAGCAAAGTACCCAAAACCTTATCTATATAGTACAATATTCTCTTCAAAAGTTTAATCTCAAATACATATTAGCAGGAAAATTTCAAACGGACAATTTGGAAAAGAGGTTTGGAAGATATAGAAATTTGTCTGGTTGTAACTATAATGTTTCATACTGCCAAATTTTAGAATCGGAGAAAAAAAATAGACTTCAAAACCTATTAAAATCTTGTAACCTAGAACATGATTTAAATTATATAAAAAATATTTTGCCTTTGCCTAGGGAAAATTATGATGTAAGTTTGCAGGAAATTAACAATTTCAAATTTGTTCTGCATAGTGATTATTTAAAATTGTACAGTAATTTTGATGACTCTGTGCAGGAATACATCTGTGGATACGTGGCTCGATCAGTTTTGAAGAATAATAAATGTGATAAATGTCAAAGTTTAGTAGTTCTAGCAAAAGGCATCCAGACGGATCATACATATTTTAATTCTCTGCAGAGAGGGGGTCTCTGTATTGCCACTCAAGAAACCAAGTTTATTTATTTTCATCTTTGTGCTATCTTCGAGTATATAATTAATAACAAAGATCTTGAAAGTATGTTCCTGAAAACAAATGATCATCATAATTTATTATCGCAGCTTACTTTATTAGCTTTAGAGTCCGATACCTTTAATATTGATTTGAACAAAATTTGTGAATGTGGTGCTAACTCAAAAAAAATTTACTCCTTTGCTTCTTTGATAATGAGTAATATTATTTTAAACAACTACACAAAATTTAAAAATAGTGAATGTCATAAAAATAAAACAGATTCAAGTAAAAAAAGAAAACTAACCACTTTGAAATAGAAAAAAAATGTACCTAGGTACTAAAAATAATAATAGAGGTATGTTTTAAGGGTAGCTTTCCCGAATTCTTAGAAAGTATTTATTTTTTTAACATGATAGGTAGTTGCTAGTTGTATAGAATTGTTTGACAAGACCTTGTACATATAAAATAGATATAGGATTATAATACTTTAGAATCTAGTAATATATTTATTTAAATCAATTATTTACTGTTCTTATTTACACAAATATTTATATTATTCATTGAATTACTGTTTTTACTTTTTAGTACAATATGATGCATTTTGTGTGATTAATATGTACAAAATATTGGTAATATTACAATATTACAATAATTTTACTACTAATATTTTTTCAAAGAAAACTACTTTTTTATGTAATTGAGATAAGAATTCATATTATCAATAAAAGTAAATAAACCATACGCGGAATTGAGGTTAAATAAAACAGCACCACTTGGCGGTAAGATTGCGGTGTTGCCTTTTTAACTTCATGGCTTGTAAGTGTAGAGGGCTGTGGTAGTAGCAGCAGGTTAAAAAAATGCAAAAAAGCGAAAATCGTGAATTTGTCACTTACAATGTTTTCTTTTGGAGGCGTCGATATGATAAAAATAATATAGATAATTAATTAAAATTGAAATAACACATAATCTGAAGGGTAATTTAATATTGTAGTAGAACTGCGTCCTTGTGGTGATTTATTCCAACAAGGGGTTGGTAAGGTTTGATAGGCTCCAGATATTAAGACAATACAACACACTTATCAAATCTGAGTAGTCCCTAATCTCTTCAGGGGAACCTGAAGGATTGGATCAATATCTTCCAGTGTTTCCGATGGCCTGGGACTGGATCATGGTCGTGACAAGAAGCAACTGGCTCTGGGCACTGAAGTTCTGTAATTGAAGGCACTAAAGCTTCCAATTGTCTAGCGGAGGCTGAAGACAGGAGGTACGACTACATATATACAGTAAGCTTAACGTTTAACTCTTTACTCAGTGAAGTACTA